CGCATATACATATATGCACATGTAGTTATATATATATATATATATTCACGCACATACAATCCGCACGTACAAGGGACAGGAGTAGTGGCCACGCAGGGACATAGAGGGAAGGCCGTGGATGCCACACCATCTGACAGCAGTACCCACAACACGCAGCATCTCGCTCTCCACGCGATCGGGGGGCTTTTAGCAGGACCGCCTTGTAACGCGTGGCTAGGCGTAACATCAGCGGAGCACTACAACACCCAACCCGTTCGCGACATGGTGCAACGGACTGGAGTTAGGGGTGTGGCAACACACGTCTAGCCTTAGTGATCGGACCTGTTGCGCTGATGGGCGACCAAGGAAGCCGGAAATCACACAGACGCGCCAACGGAACGGCTTGCAATCCGGGGCTTCAACAGAGGTCGCCGCGAAGGGAGCTGCGAAGGGGCGTATCTTACCAACCTAGTGGTCCCGTGTGGAGCATGCAAACTGGAGTGACACCGGTGGTCATGTGAAGCACGCGACCTAGTCCGGACACTAAGGGAGCGGGAGAATTACCCTGCCAAAGTCAACGCTTGTAGGTACGCGCGGGGCACTGTGGGTAACGCTGGAACAAGACGCATGGAGTGCTCGGGGGGACGAGATTGCACGACGAGGTGCCGCTCTCATGCGTCCCGGTTAGTGAGGGTCCGTTGCTTAATCCGCCCAGTGGGACCCGTCCAAAACCTCGCCTTAGCCTTAGACTGCATCTCCGGCCCGTGGGGTCCAACCTGTTGGTCCTCGACGCGTTCTCAGATTAGCCGGTCGTTCCGTGAAGCCGCCTAGGTGAGACCCCGGGCGACCGAAGTCACACATGAGGGGGTGCAACCCTACCCGCAAATTCAATTGTTGGTTCTGTTTTCGCACTTTCATCGTAGATCCATCATTAGCAGGGCTGCCGTGTTTGTATGTGTACTGCTAGCCGCAGGAGGCTCCTGGCCAGAGCTATCCTATCCGCCAGGCCAGCATTGCGTTCATTTACCTTCTCCCATTTTAGATTTGGGTCTGACAGTTACTACCTCCTGTCGCTGCAAACAATCATGTCAACAATCAGTGCGTGCAAATCCAAGCTAACGAAGGCCCATATGGCATTAGAAGCAATTGAAGGTAAGACACCGCAGGATCTGATCAATCCGCGTACGAGTGAATTGCCTCCGCTTGCCGACGAGTGCCAGCTCCTTGACCGCCGTCAGGAAGTGCTCAAGGCACATTTGTCGAACATTCGTGCAGCGCCTAATGCCGTAAGAGAGAACAGCAAGCCTTCTTAGCCGCAATCACTAGTTCTAACAATCCAGAAGATTATACAATTTACTTAGATTATATGCAAGATTCCAAATCAGAAGATGCGATAGTCACCACGGAGAGTTTAATCCAGACCCTCCAGACCAACTTGGAGGAGGCCGCCCCTCGGCACGAGACTCTTCGCACGAGGTTACTAAATATTCAGCAGGATGACGACGCAAGACCATCGCAGGAGACATCTGAGGACGTAGCTCGTTACGAAACCATCGAGCACGCGACGCAGATCCCTCCTGTTCGGTTTTCTCCTTGGGAGACGCCTCCGCAAGGCACGACGGACACACCACGTTCGCCAATCGGCAGACGTCGCAGCATCCAGGAGTTCAGCTAGGGAAGCTCAATGTCGAGCCCTTCTCGGGTGACATTACGCAATTAAAACGCTATTGGCGCGCGTTTGAGGACCAATCCACAACGATACCACCATCAGTTCCACCTATAAGTCCCTCTACTTACAGGGGTTGCTTAAAGGCGAAGCGCAGATTGTACTCCAGGATCTCAACCCTGACGAGTGCAATTACTACGAGTTGGTAAAGGCACTCAAAAAGCTTTATGATCGACCGCAAAGCCAAGTTTTTCAGGGCAGTGCACGCACAAGAACCTTTATCCTAGGACAGTACAGTACTTGCCGTAAGAACTCAAAAATTTACGAGAACACCGCAGTTCGCGTCTTTTTCATCTTTTCTTTATAAATCGCTTCAAAATAAAGTAATCGAAGAGAAAAAATACTGTTGAACTCAGCTCATCGAGCTCTACAAGATGATACCCTGAAATGCTGAAAATTCTTTATTTCGGATTGCGCCATGCACTTGAGCTCTATCTGAAAAGTGATTGCATGCACAAGGGGTGCACACATTAGTGCTTGCAGTTGCTCATTGGTCCCTGAAGATGATCTGTTCAGAAATTGCTTTGGATTGCGCCACGTACTCGACTTTACTCAGTACAATGAGAAAATGATTATTGTTTTGTTCAGTCTCCATTGTTCCTTTCTTGGTTTGAAGGCTGTAGATAAGTGCATCTACGGTTCCTGCACTCAACACTCCTCTTTGCAGATCCATTGAGAGCATGAAATCAATTTACGGCAAAATAACGGAGTCGATTTTTTGGCACTTTCCCATTTCTGGCCATTTTTGGAGGAATTTTTCTACGGATTCTGGGAAGATGGTGTCGAGGCACTCCACTGTCATAGACAGCTCTTTGTTGTCTGCAAGACTGTTATGGTACCCTATCATAGATCAAAATTTCTCCCTTGGTATGGCCCCAATCTTCGAACTTCGTCAAGCCCAAATCATAAAACAATGTTTTTTCCCTTCCCGTTGGTCTTTTTGCAGCTGCGTTGTACACTGCTAGATTCCCCGTGAAAAATCCTATCGAATGATATAGGTAACTCGTGACGAAAACCTCCCTCCACACCACTTTCTGCAGCAGGCCTGTCTCTTAGCGATTTCCTGCAGGGCGTGTTTGAATATGCATGGGGCCGGGTACTGTAGTGGCGGGAATTTGGAGGGTTTCGAATAATAATTATTTGAATGGGGGATCAGATCTGCTGGTGGCGGGGTACTGAAGTGGCGAGAAGGGGGGTTGGATCGATTAACGATTACTTCAGTGGAGCTAAGATCTGCAGGGGACGGGGTACTGTAGTGACGGGAAAGTGAAGGACGGGGCAGTTTGAATGGGAGTTTTGAGGTCTGAAGGAGCGGTCTCCACCGTTCACTTATGATGTGGAGGTTGTAGATAAGTGCATCTACGGTCTCTGCACTCAATTCTCCCTCTTACAGGTTCCATTGAGAACATGACATCAATTTACGACAAAATATGGAGTCGATTTTTTTGGCATTTTTCGATTTTTGGAGTTTTTCTCCGGAACCTGAGGAGATGGTGTTGAGGCACGGCGAGTACTGCACTGGGATCTCCGCAAGAGAAGCTTTTTTGAACAACTGGTCAATGGAACACGTTAAAATATTCAGACATGGCATGCTCCTCACAAAGGTGCAGCAGCAGATGCCCCAAACGTTACAAGTGAAGACATTTTCCACTCTGGAACATTGACATAATTGCGGTTTTTCGCTCCAAGAAGACAACATCAGATGTAGTGATAATAGGAGCGAAATTCTCTCCTGCCATTCCATTCATTCATTGGTTGTAATATAGAAACATTAGCTTAGGAGACAGGTTTCGTCTACGAAAAGAGGTATACATTGCTTCATCAACAAAGCAATTGATTCTTGTCTAAATGAGCCCAATTCGTTTTGGTCATGATCGGTCAAGACCAAGACTGCTAGAATTTCATCACAGAGACAGGAAACAAAGCTGAACGTAGACATCTCCACCTTAATGGATGAACGTAAGGGTTTTCTAGCAATGCGGGCACGTTTACATGAGCAGTGCAGGTATTCACTGTGTATGTAAAATTTTGTATTGGTAGACATCATCCGTAGAGTTGGGCATCCGAAGAGTCGAGAACAACACGAATACACTGCATAAGGGAACTCTTAGAAAAAAACTCGTACCTCAAAAAGTAGCTCCATGAGTGAACAGTGATTAAATCTGCGACCAAATTTTCAGTGACAAGGCATATAGCGTACTCTGGCTCCATAATAAGACCGTCAAATACCGAGGAAGAGTAACACTTTATGAGAAGCTGTAGATGGTGTGGATGCACTGGGCAACCAGCTTCACGCAGTGCACGTACATTCTGCGCGTGTCCACTTTTTAATGCGGTCGACAGGAGCTCACCATTTGACCATATCTGGAGGAATCTAAGCGTTAAATGTTAGAGGTGTTACTAACAAATAACAAAAAGGGTCTCTTTCGATATTGAATCGATCACATGTTAAATCTATTTCCGCCTACTATTCAACTATTGGCTACTCGCACGCCAAACTATTTACTTCAGCTTAAAGGCCATAGCGACCCTCTACGAGGTTATTTCAATTGGATCTGCGTTATAAAGAAATGATTGGCAGTCATGATGGTGATTGATGGTGATTGATCGTGACGTAAGGACCCTTTTGTGATAAAAAATGAGATAAAGCAGGTAGAGAACGAAGGTATTCATCGCAAGTGCGGGGTAATGGGATTTTAAAATCCAAGTGACCAGAATCTGACACCTATAGTGGAGGTGTGGGCACCATTAAGGCCATGGATCCGCACTGGTCTGGGCAAAAAACTCAGAGCGGATTTTCAGAACTTGTCGCGCCGCCTTTCTTCTTCTTCTTCTTCTTATTCTCCCTAGCGTTAGTCCCGCGCCGTCGCAGGGTCCGCTGTTCTTATCAGTTGTCTCCACTTCATTCTATTTACGGCATCTTTTGCCATCACCTTGGCCTCGGCGAGGTCCTTCTTGATCACGTCCCGCCATCTCTTCTTTCCGCTCCCC